AACAGCGAGGACACCAGGACGGCCTCCCAGGAGGGCGTGGCCGCCATCCTGAAGGTGAGCCACGCCCTCCCAGAGCTGGACCCAGGAGTGGACCCCCCCCTGAAGGCCTTGCTGCTTGGGCTGGCCCTGCTGAGGCAGTTGTGTGTGTCTGTGTCCTGCAGTGTGCCCGGGGGCCCGTCCTGCTGGAGCTGGGCCGGCTCAAAGCGGCCTCCTGGATCTCCTCCAGACACAGCTCCCAGGGCAGCCAGGTGGGCCAGCGCTCTGTGGACCCGTCTGCTGGGGGGCCGTGTGTGCTAGCCCAGTCCTCGTGGGTAGGACCACTGGTTTGGGTTTGATAGGTTTCACCTGTGGGCTACAGCAGAAAGCAGACTCACAACCCTGTTCTGAGGAACCTACCAGGAGTTAGAGGGCAGATAGGGTTAGGGTTAGTTCCAGCTGTTTAACCACCTGTGGATCATTTCCTGCAGGTTTTGGGGTCTCCTTCTGACCTCTAACCTGCTCACATTTATAATGTTCTTCATCTCTAAAATGAGCGTTATTTCCACGTCAGATCTTCAGGTCCATTACAAACATGTTGAGCTTCAGCTGTGTCCAGCCAGAGGTCATGTGACCATGTGAGGGTCAGTAAACTTCCGTCTGTCTCAGATGAGCCGCGTCAGCCGGAGCAGCTCAGGACTGGCCCCGCCCCCCCCTCAGACCCCGGCATCAGCAGACCCGCCGGCCCCCTCCCCCCCGCCCGGCAGCAGCCAGCCCAGCTGTGACATCACTTCCTGTCCTTCCAGCAGCTCAGGTAGGAGACGTGGGCCGGGCCTGGTTCTGACGGGTCCCGTCCCGGGGGCGGAGTCTGATCTGTGTGTGTGTGTGTCCAGGCGTGGACGCCAGCGTCCGGACGGTGGAGCTCAGCAGGGTAAAGTCCTCCCACAGACACCGGCTCTGACCTCTGACCTGTGGGTTTGCTGCTGTCAGCTGCAGTTAATGCAGAGTGAGACGAGCTGACCTTTGCTCAGATCCATGGTCAGGTGCCTCTTGTGTTCAGTCTCTATGTAGCTGGAAAAGGTACGGTGCTCCTCACAGGTCCTCAGATACCCAAAGAGATTCATCAGAGCCTCCCCAACAACACGCTGCACACCCAGGAGGAAAAACCTTTGGAAAAGTAAAACCATGTGAAAACAGTTCATCCAAAATAGGCTGGTCCCGATCCGATATTTGGATCCGATCGGCTAGCAGGAGAAAACACAGATCCAGACTCCAGATCCAGTTTATTATTAGTTATATTAGTTTATTTATAGTCCGATCCCACAGGAGCATTAGCATTAGCATCTGTAACCACAGGTCTGTGTCCTAACCATTAAGTTGTTATCAGAGTAAATCCCTGTTCAACATGAGTCTGACAACTAAGTAAGTAGATAAATAACTTTAGACTTTAGTACAGGCTCTGATAGGCCGGGATCGGGATAAAAAAGCTGGATCAGGATATCCCTAATCCAAAATCCCTCCAAACATTCAGGAAGCACCAGAACAGGTCCATATGTGACTGAATGCCCAGAGCTTGTCCAGTTCTTCTAAAAGAGCTCCTCCAAAACTCAGTGTGGCCTTTAAAGTTAGCGGGACAGTTTCTGACCCTGTCCGGATCCCAGGGGGGGGTCTGGATCCTCCATGTTCATATTCTGCTCTCCCCCCTCAGAGTGTGGGCGACTCCCTGGGGGTGAGCATAGCGGGGGGGAAGGGCAGCCCCCTGGGGGACATCCCCATCTTCATCGCCATGATCCAGGCCAGTGGAGTGGCCGCCAAGACCCAGCGGCTGAAGGTGAGGCAGCGGGCCGGGGGTCCACAGGGATCCGCTTCAGACTCAAACAGGCTCATCACAGACGCTGAGTCATGTTTGGGTCCAGCTGCTTTTTCACCGGACCTGGGCCTTTTTTGATCTGAAGCCATCAGATCTGTGTGTGTGTGTGTGTTGATGGTGTGTTAGAAAGCCTCAGCTTTGGCCGGACCTTTGGGTTCTGGTCTGGTTCTGCTGAGCAGGATGGCCTGGTAGTGCTGGATGCTGAGGGTTTGGTTCTGGGGGGCTTTGTGCTGTGGGCACTTTCACTTTCACTTTCCCCGGTGTGCCTCCAGGTGGGCGACCGGATCGTCAGCGTTAACGGTCAGTCGGTGGACGGCCTGACCCACAGTGAGGTGGTCACCATGCTGAAGAACAGCTGCGGCAGCATCCATCTGCAGGTACCACGCCAGAACCAGAACCTGAACCTGAACCTGACCCAGAACTAGAACCAGACCCAGACCCCCAACCAGACTAAACACCAGAACCAACACCAGAACCAACACCTGACCAAAAACCACAACCAGACCCAACACCAGACCCATACCCAGAGCCAGACCCAGAACCAGACCCAGAACCAGACCCAACAGCTGACCTGTCAGCCTCAACATTTCCATCACACTCAAATGTGCCACCTCCATTTTACAAAGTCCATCGAGTTAGAAAGTGCCGGACAATGGGCCGGGCTTAGGAGAAGCTGATCCAGAAAATCAATCAGAGATAAAGATCATCCTCTTTCATTGAGCTGGTACAGCTGGTACAGAACCAGAGCTGTAACAGAACCAGAGCTGAAACAGAACCAGAGC